GGCCCCAGTGATGAAGCCTTAATGCTTGTGGATCGGGACGAAAAGCACAGATGACATTAGATGTATGGATGCAAAACAGTGCATTCTGACCCGCGGGCGAGCGGTTCGCCATTGGAATCCAGGGATTCTTCACGCCTGACCAGCCGCGCGTGGCTCATGACAGCGTTCTGGCCGTTTCAGGGACGCCTTCAACAACTGGGCCGTGTCGGCGCCGGCGCCAGGCCCCGCGCCGATCGTGTCGCAAACGCCTCCTGAGGTGTCCGGCAACTAGACCGATCTAGCCCGTTCACGTACAAACGCTAGTGGTAGTGTCGCCACCTACCGGCCAGCTAGTCTACTTGCGTTTTATAGTTCCGCCGCTTGGCCCGAGCGACCTCGCTTCATGCCGTACCCGGATGACATGCATGTCCGCTTGTTTGGAGGTTTATTTATGCACGCTTTCGCCTGTACATAGACGACGGGATGCCGCCGGCTGCATTTGTGAGTGTATTTTTCTGTAACTGGTGCGGTACGGGGTGGGTTCAGCGAGCTTGTGATCGGCGCGCATGGCGCAGGGTCTGAGCGCGGCGCGCCGCCACCCCTGACTCGGCTGGCGTCCGTGGCGCGTGGCGCGCGCCGCGCGCGCGCCAGTGAGGCCGATCTCCTGTGTACGGCGGCCAGTCGCCACCGAGGTCACAGCTCAAACTGCGCGCCGTCGCCGCCGTTGTTCAGTATTTGACAAAGTTTACAATGTGTGTTGTTATCGCCGGCGCGTACGCTTGGAATCATGTACATAGTTGCGTTGGCGCGGCGACAAAGACGGTGTCCGCCGGCGCCCTGCACATGCGACCGGTTTGTCTGGCCTGTCTGGTCCTGTCCGATCAGGCCCTGTCTGGCCCCGTCCGGGTCGACAGCGCTCCGCCGTCTGGTGGTCATTCCAGCGTACTCTGGTCCGGGACGGCGGCGGTCGGAACTGGCGCTGAGGCTGGCCCGCTCTCTGAGCGTGACCTGACCCGACTGACTTGACCTGACCTGGAATCCTCCGGGCCAGCTGGGGAAATGGAGACGCGCTCTTCGCGAGATACGCGCATGACAGAAGGAACTGGGAGATGCCGTCTGCTGTCCATCGGAAAGGCGTCGTAAGCATCCAGAGCACGAAAACGCCCCGACTGGGAAAGACAGAGTGGTCGAGGTGGTAGCGCTGCGTCTCGGCCGGACGCCGGCTCTGTCCGTATGTTACGTTTCCTGTTCGCCGGAGGACCAATGAGGGAGCGTTTGATCCTCGCAGGACTGTCAGGAGTGTTGCACTTGGTTGTCACGCTGTGTGGTGTTATGTTCTCGCGTAATCTGGCGTACATGCACTGTTTCAATAAGAGGAACTCTGCGATTGGGTCGGCTTTTCTGTTTGCGTCGGAGAGGCTTTGGCGCCGCGACGAATTGTGAGTTTTTAAAACGGATTTTTTAGATTGCTTCGACATTCGAGCACGCCGCACTGGGGAGTGAGAGCAAGTGCGAGCTGTGAGCGGGCGCCATCGCAGTCCCGTTACGTGTCAGCACAGTCCACAAATCACCTGTAGGCACGACAGGGGCGTCTAGCTTTGGACCTTTACAACATAAACTTGTTCACCAGGAGGTGAACGCCGTCATTCGAAACACGCGCACGCGCATAAATATGCTCTCATCCTTGCGTTGAGGCGGGGCCTCCTCGTCTCCCTAACGACATCGAAACCTATGTGACGCGATAACAGCGACCTGGTCTGGTAGGTCGGGGTCACTTGATCGTGCTGCGACGGAAAGTCGACACATCACGCAGTACCAATGCAACGGGGCCGATGCCTCCCCGG